TAGAGATTTATATAGTGGGAATTGTATGAGAGTAAAAGTCATAAAAGTCATACGAATGAAATATACGAATGTCTTGCAAGTGCGGAAAATATCATTTTTGTTCTATTTTCTTGTTTAACTTCGATTTGGTGAAAACTTGTAGCTTAATCAAATGCTGTGAATTAACCAAAATTAAATTATCTAAAAGAGCATTAAGATTTAAGTTGGATATTTGTTGTCACTGGTAATTCGCTTAATTTGCAGTAATCGAAAACAATTCTGCCTTTTATTCCTGATTTATCAACCCTTTTCTCGAATACCTACATTATACAGATTTCAGAAGAGATATTTCAAATATATTTGACATATTAAGCACAAATATAAATTTAATTACAAAAAAACAAGAAGAACTAATTCGCCTTGCTAATAAACAAAATAAATAATATTGCATATCGTAATATACTGCGACTTTGCTCACAACCATTCAAATTACAATGCAAACCAACAAAATTCAATTGAATTACATATGAATATAGTAAGTATTATCATCTGAAAAAACAAACAAATATTAATGATACAAAAATGTTTAATCATTTCACTCAACATTTATTATACAATCTATGTTTATTCTACATTGTTTCACAAAATTCGAATGAATTTCAACGTCTTTATAATATTACGGTCTTTGTTATTTATAATATTACGGTCTTGAGTGCTAGTTGTAAAATTCCTATAACTTTCGAATGAAATTCGACATCATTTCATTAATACGAACTTTCTCTTAAAAAAGAGGCATAATATTGTTAGTGACGCCGCTAGAGAAATATTGGTGATTTCCATGTTTTTGCCCAAAGTCTATTGTCTTGGAATATGTTTATTATTGCATTTGAAAAACGAAAGTACATTATTGGCAACCAATGGAAACTGGTAAAATTTTTATAAAATGTTCAACTATAATTTCAACTATAATATAATGTTGCTAAAAAAACATTATTTTATAATCACACTAGTAAAATTTAAATGTATTTTAAAATCAACACGGACGACAAAAATGAAGAAATCTTACAATACAACAATTATTTTAGAAGTATTTTTAAAAATCAAAACCAATAGAAATTAAACTTAAAATAAATGAAAGCTTTTAAATATATTTAAATGTATTAAAAGATAATAATTTTTGAGAATATCAAAAATAAACTGAAACCGGAATTCCAGCAATGAATTCGTAAACTAAGAAAAGTCATTAGAAGAAAAGAAGAAACTATTCAGCCGCACATCCTACATCAGCAACTACAGTAGCAATAGCAATAACAACCAATGTATGAAAATTTACTCTTACGCAGCACTAAAGTTACAAACTGTTATATTAATAGACAAAGACAGACCAGTGAAAGATATAAAATTCATCTCACAATGCTAATTCAGGTTTATATACAAAACAAAATAATAACACTAAAAAAACCCAATTTATTTTGTTAGCCGTCGAAATAAAAGTAATAGTATTGTCGTTATTTTTAGACACGAAATAAAGAATATAAGCTACATTTCTCACGATTTAATATCGTCACGAGGAAGACAACTTTATGCAGCATTAAATAACACTTCGTTCAATAATGTGTGTGACTAACTAATTGGAACACATTTTTTTGCCAAAATTCGTTTTTATTCATCAACATAGTCCCCTTTTAGGGAGATACAATCATTCCAACGCTTTTGCAATCTTTCGATACCGCCTTTTTCGAAAATTTTTTCTTTGCAATCTCACTCACTTTCACTTTACGGTCGGACATAATGATTTTAAGTGTTTTTTCAACGTTTTCCGGAATAACAGCGTCATTTGGCCGTCCAGTAGATGGAATGTCATCGGTGTCTGTATGACCACGTTTGAATTCGGTATACCAATAACAAATGCTTCTTTTTGATGGAGCAGAGTCCGAATAATGTTTTTCAAGCCATTCCTGGCATTGAACAGTATATTTTTTCATTAAAAAACAATGATAAATCAGCATACGGAATTGCTTTGAATTCATTTTTTTTTTGTGAAAACTCAAAAGTAGCGTCACTTAAAGCACTGTAGGTTGTAAATAAATGGTCGGATTAACATATGATTTTGACAATAAGCCTAAAAAGGTTGCCACTTTCGAAAAAAAATATTCATTTAGTATTAGTGCCGCCATCTATGTGTCAGTCACACACATTATTAAACGAAGTGTTAAGGGACTCGAAGTCATATCATCTGGAGATCCCACATATTGGTCAACCGATACCAGTTGTAACGACACGGATTCGTCGTTTTATTTTGCTGAGGTATTACTCAGTCGTGGTCCGGGTCGTTGCAATAAATTTGTTTTATTGACCAGTTCGAAGCTGGTAAACCAAGTGTTAAGTTATTGTAAAAATAAAACAGTTTGCAAAGCTTTTAAGATTTTAACCTAGTTTATTTATTATATTGATAGTAGCAGTTTTTAATATATATATTATTTCATTCGCTCCAAAGCAACCAAAAAAACCTCCACTCTACGCGTCGTATTTCGCCATACTCTTCTTTTAAACGTCAAACGCTCGATTTGCTATTTTTGCACACTCATGGTTGCATTTTCGTATTTTAATTTTTCGTGTTTTTACAGTCGGCCTCCTGACATCTCAAAGCGACCCCGCTTTGTCCGTCGATTCGGCAACGTTATCATTGTCGTCATCATCGTCGTCATCAGCCTCGCTGCTACTGTCATCGTAAGGCAACTGACACCATCGCTTGAATTATCGAACGAATACACCGAGGTGTACTGCCGCTGTGTTCGTTTGGAGTTGGGTAAATCGTTGACTGCATATCGGTTTTTGTCGAGTACTTTAGTAATAATGAAGGGGCTTTTATAACGCGGCTCTAGTTTCCTCGACTCACCCGTGCTATACGGCTCGTTTTGGACTAATACTAGATCACCCTCTTGAAATTTCGTTGGCTGTAAGTACCGCTTATCGTATCGGCTTTTAGCTTTAGCTCGCTCATCAGTAATTCGTTCTGCAATCGTTCTGCGTAAATCCGTTAATTGATCAGTAGTCAGAGTGTCGTCGTTATGTAGAGTTAGAATTAATGCGTTCTGAAGTATATCACGAGGTTGATAACCATACAGCAACTCGTACGGTGTGCATTTCGTTGTCGCATTCTCCATCGTATTTAGGCACCATTGCAATCTTACCATATTTTCGTCCCGTCGTTTGTCAACCGTATTTGTTGGTAACAGCATGGATAATATTGTTCGATTAGTCCGTTCGGCATGAGCATTTGCTCGTGGAGTTCTTACTGCATTTTTAATATGTCGAATATGGTTCCGAGTACAAAACCTCTCGAAATCTTTCGCTGTGAACGCAGTCCCTCGATCAGTAATTATTTTCGTTGGCATTCCACAGTAACTTATAACTTCATTTAATGCGCTGAGTACGTGCTTTGTCGCGGTACTTTTAACTGGCTTTAGTACGGTAAATTTCGTAAAAGCATCTACTATAACGAGTAGATATTCGTTTCGTTTCACACTTTTAGGAAATGGTCCTAAGTGATCCATATGTATGGTCTTGAATGGTACAGGTTCTATTTTATCGAAATGGTAAATTCCTTCCCTTTTTCCCCCTGGCTGTTTATTATACGCACATTCAACACAAGATTTAATATAATTCTTTGTAAAATTTCGCATTCGTGGGAACCATAGATGGGTTTTAATTCGGTTTATCGTCTTTTCAACGCTCAAGTGTCCTGCGCTATCATGACAGTCCCGAAGAACTCGATATCTTAAACGTTTCGGCACGACCCATAAAAGCTTATCATCAACCATACGATACAGCCGACCGTTATGTATTTTATAACCATCGCTTTCAAGTCCATTTTCGCGTTGCACGTCAGCCACGATTTTCTGAAGGTTTACGTCTTGTAATTGCATCGCAAACAACCAGTCGTATTCGTTTAGTCCAACCTTGAACGTACGCATGTCCGCTGTGTCGCCTTCATAAACATTTAGTAACGGATTTCGACTTAGTGCGTCCACGTGTTCCATTCGTTTCGCACTTTTATGTTCTATATTTATATCAAAATCTTGTATACGTAACCGCCACCTGGCTATTCTTGGAATTAGCTCGCGTTTTTGCATCGTTGTTTTTAATGCACTGCAGTCTGTCACCACCGTGATCGGTTTACCGTATACGTAATAACGCAATCTCTCCAGAGTTTCGACAACGGCTAATGTTTCCAGCTCGTAGCTGTGGAACTTTTGTTCATCTATCGTTGTAGATCTGCTGTAGTACACGACCGGTTTCCATTCGCCCATCTCATTTTGTAACAGCACGCCTGCTAACCCAATTGAGCTTGCGTCAGTATGTACTTGATGCTCAGCATCCGATCGATAAGCAGTCATAACTGGCTTCCTCGTTAATGTCGATTTCAGTTCATTGAATGACCCCTCTTGCTCGTTACCCCACTCAAAATTTACGCCTTTATGCAAAAGCTGTCGCAATGGTTTACTCACGATCGCATAACCTGGAACAAATTTCCTAAAGTAACCGCTTAAACCCAAAAATTGTCGTACTTCCGTTTGGTTTCGGGGCCTTGCGAAATTTTCGACTGCTAAAGTTTTTGCTGTACCAGGGCTAATGCCGTCTGAAGTTAATTTATGACCCAGAAACTCGATCTCTCGATTTAGGAATCTGCATTTTTTTATATTTAGTGTCAATTTCGCCTCACGTAATGCATTGAATACTCGTTGTAATTTACTAAACATTTCGTCTGCCGTATTTCCGCCTACGCCAATGTCGTCCATAAAATCCACCATATCGCCAGGATGAGTCATTTCTTTGACCTTGGCCATCGTACGCAAGAATACCGCCGGAGCATTCTTGAGTCCGAAAGGCATACGTTTGAATTCATACAACCCGTCTGTCGTTATAAATGCAGTATATTTTCTGCTTTCTTCCGCTATTGGTATTTGATAATACCCTGAGTTAAGATCAAGGGTTGTGAAATAAGTATATTGTTTCGCTTATTGCAGCCGTTCTTCGATACTTGGGGTGGGAAATATTTCTTTGATCGTGTTGTTGTTGGTACCCCGATAATCAACGCATAAGCGATCTTCGCCATTCTTTTTCTTGACTAAAACAATAGGGCTGGCATAAGTAGATTCTGACTTCTGGATGATACCGTTTTCCAAAAGGTCATTTACCATTGTTGCCACCACCGACCGTTTTGGTGCTGGTACCCGATACGGCTTTTGTACGATTGGTTGATCGGTTGTTAATGTAATTTTCATTTTCGTTAAACCCGTTTTGCCTATTTCGCTCAAGCTTGTGGCGAATACGTCTCTATTACTATTAATGAGATTGCACAATTCTCGTCGTATTGCATCGTTATCGCTTCCACAATTGATTTCGTTCGTTGATATAGGGTCCCGCGTAGTTAGTCTTACTATTAAGTGTCTTGGCGTTTTCTCTAAGGTAAACGTATCGCGCTGAATTTGTACGACCACATCATCTGACACAACATCATGGCCTAGCAATATATCGGTTGTCAACATTTTATCGTCTACTACATAAAAATATATTAGTTGGCGTACACTGTCGACGGCAAGTTGGGCCCTAACCCCTTCAGTTAGTCGTACCTTTCCACCGCCGAACACCGAAATGTTCATGGAACATAACTGAATTTGACCATTAATATTTCTCGATACTGTTTTCCGTATAAGACTGCACTGGCTACCTGTATCAAGTAGTGCTGTACATTGTCTACCATTTATGTATACTTCTCTGATCGATTCTTTGGTGCGTTCAATTCGACGCACACTTGACTCCCCACAGTGCGTACTCTGACCTTTTGGGTGAACTCTTCCGCAATTGTTACACCGTTGTCTACGTTGTGGCTTTGAACATTCGCGCGAAAAATGTCCCGCTTCACCGCAATTGAAGCAAGCTCTAACCTTCGGTTCCGTTCTAAACTGTTTCTGTCCGGAGTTTTCATTTGCGTCTACACTTACGCTCGAATTTATTATCGGATTTGACGATGAATTTGCCAAAGCTATTTTGTTCGTTCCATGTTGCATATTGCGTAGAAAGTCCTCAATACCTTCGCGAAAATCTTTTAAATTATTAAACCGTAGCGGTGCGATCGCCGCTTGCAATTTAGTGTCGTTTAGTCCATTGCGAGTATATTTTATAATGGCACTATCACTTATCTTGTATCGTCGGCCAAGTGCCGCAATTCGAAAACAATAGTCAATGATGCCTTCATTAACATTACGTACCGCTTGACTCAATTCAAAATTAATGTCAGCTTCGTCACATTTTACATCAAATTCTGCACGCAACTTATTCGAAAAACTGCTCCACTCGCTATCAAATTCTTGTAGAGAATCCAGCCACAACCGCGCTACTCCTTTTAACTTTCCATAAACGGCTAGCAATAGTTGTTTTTCATTCCATTGGAATGCATTAAGAGATCTTTCGACGCGATTGATAAATTGTCCAACCGTAAGACCATTTTTATCTGTTGGATCGAACACGGGTATCGTTTCGCTGATATCTTTTACCGACCCATGTTGTGGTAAATCGTTAACCACTGTGGATGTAATTTCCGTCTTCTGATTTTCATTTTTTTCGCTCACGTTTTCCGTAGGTTTACTTCGTGTCACGTTTTCTATGCCCATTACAAGTTGTTGAATCATTCGTTCCATATTATCTATTCGTGAATTGATCACATCTACCGGCTCGCGGATTTCGTCTGCTTTCAGGTGCTCTGACAGACGCAATACTAACTGCGCTTTGTTGTCCGTCGTATCTAAACCTTCTTCCTCCAACGCCTCCTTCAGCTCGCTTAAACGCATATCCTTCAACTTCACCATTCTCATTTTATTACCGCCGTTAATTTATAAACAACAAATTTCGTTCCCGTTTCGTTTTGTTTTTCTTTATACCTTAACTTCGCTTTCGCGCATGTTAATGTGTTGAAGCGCTAGCGCTCCCACGGACACACTCACACGTTTCGGCTAGGCGCTGTTTATCCCACTTCTGATTTTGTTAAGTTATTGTAAAAATAAAACAGTTTGCAAAGCTTTTAAGATTTTAACCTAGTTTATTTATTATATTGATAGTAGCAGTTTTTAATATATATATTATTTCATTCGCTCCAAAGCAACCAAAAAAACCTCCACTCTACGCGTCGTATTTCGCTATACTCTTCTTTTAAACGTCAAACGCTCGATTTGCTATTTTTGCACACTCATGGTTGCATTTTCGTATTTTAATTTTTCGTGTTTTTACACAAGGAAAATTAAAAGCTGTTTGATTGTTATTTTAAAATTTATTTATTAAAAAGTTTTCTTAAATAATTTATTTTAAGCTTGATTCTACTCAATTAGTTTTTAGCCAAAGACGTCAAAACATCAAAGGCGTTATAAAATCTACTCAATAAGTTTTATCCAAAGACGTCAGAACATCAAAGGTATTTTTCCAAATCTACTCAATTAGTTTTTAGCCAAAGACGTCAAAACATCAAAGGCGTTATAAAATCTACTCAATACGTTCTACGGATTTATTTAGCCTTAGCGTCGAAACACTATGGGCTTCTAAAAGGGACTTAGCGTTGGAGTAGTGGTCTACTCACTTCAACTTCTAACTTGATCGATTTCGGTGTTATTAAGGGTTTAAATAAAGAACATATCTCCGTTGATCCGTCGTATGATTTATCTTCAGCCCATTCCCCGGTGATCTTAAAAATAACAAACATTTTCGAAGGTCAAAACTACAATACTAAATCATTTGTTAACTAACGCAACTTTGGTGGAGAAGTTAAAAGAACTCTTCTTAAAGTTTCTGCACCTAGCTATCCCAATGAAATTAAGCATGCTGTCGATGTAATTAACAAAACCCTAATTGACGCTTCTGCTGAGTCTTCTATTGTTCAACATGATAATATGAAAAAACCAATCTTTCTATTAACTTTGGATGGGTTTGTTTCTGCTAAGTGGCATGCAAGACGAAATTGACAAAGACACCGTTCTTCTACCTCTAAACGCAAATTAATGTAGTGACTAAAACCCTGTATTGTATTGTACAATACAAAAATATCTAAAAACCCAGAGAAAATTATCAGAGCAACTACTCTGATCTTAAACCTGCAGAATGTTTTTCAGACAAATCTCCAAATCAATAATTTCCTGCCTAACATATCTATCTCAGCTGACGTGAGAAATCATTTCGAGTAACTTTAACTATAAGGAAAGAAATATGCTCTGTAGTTAAAATCAATAATGTGGATATAGCTCAATCACATTCTGTGAAATATCTGGGAATACATCTAGATTGAATGTTCACGTGGACACGTCAAAAAATTTGACATAAAATTACAACTTATATTCACAAAATACAACTTATATTCACAAAATAAACCCCTAAGTGGTAGGCACCTTGACGTGGTGTAGGGGATTAGCTACGGGCAAGCTTGCTGACTATGGGTCTCCTGCTCACTGTCTATGCAATGGTCAGGAGACCTGTTGTCGGTCTGGCTTGTGGGTGCAACAAAGAACTACCAGTAGTTGTGTTGTCCTGTAGTTTATGTGCATGTATGTGTGTCTTTGTCTCTTTATATATGCATGTGTGTTTTTCTGTTTTTTAGAGTGAATGAAAGTGTGTAGATCCACTAGGTGTCTGGGGACCAGGGTTTATGATGAACCAAGACCGTCCATACGTGGTGCATAGCCACATATTATGGCGGATCTAGAAAGGAAAACTCGATAAAACTCCGGATACCTGCGACCTCCGGTTTGAATTCATCCTTTCCGGAGTTAAGGGGGCTATGCTTCGGACCTCCCTTTCCCCTACACTCGTGGGAACATTTATGGACTCTTTTAAAAACATTAATAAACAAAAAACTAACAAGGAACTAGGTACCAGTTCCGAAGACGAGCTCCTGGCATCAAGTCAAGAAAACGAGCGAGTCGAAACCGCCATACTTACCAATGTAGGCAGTAGCAGCCGCACTGCGCCTACTTCGCATACAACAGAAAAATCAGCAGACAAGCGCGCCAGCCATAGTGTGCCTGCTGAAAAATCAAAAAAGTCTGAGGCAAAGATCAGACGTCATAGGTACCAGAAGGCTATGTTCATTCTTGGCAAGATTGCTAAAAATGAAGCTAAAGGTAAAGAACAGGCGTTTGACCGTACAGACAAAGTACAATACCAGAAGGTGGTCGATGAGTACAGGGAATACCAGGCCACCCTATCAAAACCCGCAATGGCAATGTAGAGGGACCGGTCTCAGGACGAGACGGCCCATACTTCAAAAAGCAAGGTAGCGAGAACTTCTACTAGTAAACCGTCAACGATTGCGAAAAGGGCATATAACGAAGTAGCAAGGGATGTGCTACAGGTGGCGCTCATTGATGATATTACCGGCAATGGAAAAAAGGTGCTAGAGAAATGCAGTGAGATTGAGCCCAAGCTGGCTGAAAAGGTGATGGAACACCTTTTAACAAATCTAGACGCCCCCACACCAGGTTTTGATTCATCAGAAGTGGTTCGTGGTTGCAGGGTCTTCAAATGTGATGACCAGCTATCCAAAGTATTTCTTGGCAACTGCATTGCTAAGGTAAGTGATGCATGGGAAGGTTTAAGGCTTAAGCTTATCCCAGCCACGGATATCCCTAGAAGACCAAAGGCCCGCATTTTGCTGCCAATTATGAAGATGAAGCACGAGAAAGTACTCCAACTGCTACAACGGCAGAACCAAAACGTGCCAATGAATGACTGGGTAGTCATCAAGGATGAGGGCACACAAAAGAACAATATGACGGTTCTTCTGGTGATAAACGAGGAATCCGTGAAGCCTTTGGAAGAAATGGACTGTAAGCTGAGGTTTGGCGTACGGTACACTAAAATAAAAATATTCCGCCCAACAGGCAATGATGATCATGGCCAGGCGTTAGAGGATGCTAACAAATTGCTTGACGACATGAAGCTTCAGGAAGAAGCTTCAGAAACTTCGTAAGCCTGCCCGAATACTGAAAGTAGCACAAATCAACCTTCAGCATTCGAAAATTGCCTTGGACAATCTCGCCATCTTTCTCATCGAGGAGAATGGCGATGTCAGCATCGTGCAAGAGCCATGGGTCAGAGGTAAGGACGTCATGGGGCTAATACTTAAAAATTATAACAATTTTTATATTAGGAACAATGGTAAGCCAAGATCATGTATCCTAGTTAAAAAATGTATTAATGCCTTTTTATGTCCACAGTATAGCGATAATGATCTAACAGTAGTAAGGATATCATGTGCCTACATGGCACATGATAGAGATGCTTCTCCGGAGGAGGTAGTCGCGCTAGTAAACAGAAGTACATCAAAAGATATTCCCACGTTATTTGGATGTGACGCCAATGCGCTTTGGGGCAGTTCGGAAACCAATGACAGGGGTGAGTACCTGTTTGATTTTATCAACAATTCGAATCTTTTAATTTGTAATAGAGGTAAAACACCTATTTTCACTTTTCCCAGTTCACAAGGGTTTAATGGATGGGAAGAAGTGCTAGATATAACACTCCTATCCGAAAATCCAGATATTGTAGTTAGTAATTGGAAGGTATCTGACAAAAAATCCTTTTCAGATCATAGTTGGATTCTCTTCAACTTAAACATCAAACCAAATCATACCATCCCCTTTAGAAACCCGAAGAAGATAAAATGGGATATTTTTACAAGGGTAACTAAGGTGGAACTTAATAAAGTAAGACAAATCAAGATAGACTCTACTAGTAAGTTAGACGAGAGGATATATAATCTTGAGGCAGCTTTTAATATAGCTTACAAGAAATCTTGTCCAATAAGTAGAAGCAAAAAATCTTTTCCACCCTGGTGGAATTCACAATTAAGTGATCTCAGGCAGAAAACACGAAAACAGTTTAACGAAAGCTATAAGGACAATAGTTGGCATGAATATAGGGACTGTCTTAAAACTTACAAGAAAGCTATCAGGGAGGTCAAAAGTAATGGCTGGAAGGAATTTTGTAAGTCAATTGAATCAACCTTATCCTCTGCTAGGCTCAGCAAGGTTCTATCCAAGGAAAGTGCAAACCCTTCTTATCTCAAGAAAGACGACGGCACATGGACTGAAACCTCTGCTGAGACACTAAGACTACTATTAGATACTCATTTCCCAAACTGTGACGATGATGCTAGAGAAAACTGTTCAATCACCCTGGCAAGCACACCATCACAGATGGCTGAAGCAATAGTCACAGCGGAAAAAATTAGGTATTCAATTAACAGTTTCTGTCCCTATAAATTGCCAGGTTTGGACGGTGTTTTCCCTATTATGTTGCAAAAACTACAAGACTTAGTGGTTCCATGGTTAGAGGAAATTTACAAAGCATGTCTTAAATACAGTTATGTACCACTTAGTTGGAGACAGGTTAAAGTAGTCTTTATACCCAAGGCAGGCAAAATCGGACATGAGTCCACCAAAGATTACAGGCCGATTAGCCTAACTTCATTCTTACTAAAAACAATGGAGAGTGTAATCGAGCTCCACCTAAGACAAAAGGTAAAACGTTTTCCAATCTCCAAATCCCAGCACGCTTGCCTCAAGGGTAGATCTACGGAAATAGCTCTGCATGAGGTCATTCGTACTGTGGAAAAATCGATTCATTTTAAGCAATACTCGTTGGCAACCTTTTTAGATATTGAAGGGGCTTTTAACAATGTAAGCAATAAAGCTATTCATGACTCTCTTTCCTGAATAGGTTTAGAGAAAGAGTTTAAAAATTGGATAGTTACTATGCTTAAAACAAGGATTATTCAATCAAAGTTAGGCAGCATAACCCAAACGAAGCACGTCAGTAGGAGGACGCCACA